ATACTGTGCATTTGTACTTATAGTAAAATTTATATATAAAAAAAAATTTTGAACCAGGTGACTGGCAAATCGTCTATTAAGTATTTAAGATTTTTAGCAGCAAGTTAAATAATAAAAATATTTGGTTTGATTTGTTGTAAGTCTTCAACGGATCTTCTTTAGTATAAGTAGGTATATATAAATTATTATAAGATTATAATATATAAAACCTAACTAATTTAAGCTAATTTAAGTTCTAACTTTAACCCTGATCCTAATAATTTATAAAATTACTTAAATTAGTTCAAATAGTTAATTTATATATATTATAATTGTATAATTATTATATATGCCCATCTATACTAAAGATTAATCTCTTTGATAATTAAATATTTTAATATATCTTTACCAATTATTAGTTTATAAAATCTTGAATCTTGTAGAAGATTTTTTTTTTTAGTTTTAAATACTTTAGAACTTTTTATTTAAGAATTATTTACTATAATATTTTAAACTTTTAGAGTTTTATTTCTTCTACCACTTTTCTTCTCTTATCTACATATGCTATATTAATATTATTTTTATCTTTTTCTTTTAAATAGATCATAGAAAGATTTGTATTGTTTTGAGAAGCATCAGGATTTTTTGTATCACTAAAGCTGATTCAAGTTTAAATATTGTAAGAGAGTAGCTAATTGTTGTATAAGTTAATTATTATTATTATTATTATTAAAATTATTTTGTAATTAGTTATTATTATTTTGAACAGGATTTGGGTGGTTATTGATTCTGAATAAGTTTAAATATTGTAAGAGAGTAGCTAATTGTTGTATAAGTTAATTATTATTATTATTATTATTAAAATTATTTTGTAATTAGTTATTATTATTTTGAACAGGATTTGGGTGGTTATTGATTCTGAATTGATTATTTTTAGCTTGATTATTATTATTATTTGATAAAGGATTATTTTATTGATTATTATTATTTCTTGAATTAGAATAATCTCATGCAATATATCTAGGTTAGA